AAAGGAGGAGCAGTTACTGAATGATGGAGATACTTAGAAAGTCTGGAAGTGGTAGGCAGGATTAAGTAGTATCCCAACTCCCCCTTTAGGATAAGTGTGATGGAGATTATGAGAAAAGGTACAACCAATGCTAAAGAGGATAGTGAGAGATAGAATATCATTTAGTGGAAGTTAGGTCTCTGTCAGTGGAAGCTGATGAAAGGAATGAGAGGAAGAGGTTCAGAAAACAGGAAAATTTACAAATTATGGAATGGGAATTCCAGAGGACAAAGTGGAAGGAATAGACAGAGTTGGTATGCAATGGTAACAAGGTTGAGAACTCAGGTGACTGAAAAGATGGCAGCACTCTTGACTATAATGATGAAATTCAGACAAAGGATGGGTTTGGGGAAGGGATAATGAGCTCAGTCATAGGTTGAATTTGAGATGTTTTCAGGAAATCTAGCTTGAAATGACCAATTAGGCAATTGGTGATGTAGGACTAGAGGACAGGAGACAAACTATAACTGAGTATATGCATAGAGATGATAACTAATGAGGTCACCAAGTGAGAAGAGTGTAGAAAGAAAAGAGGGGCCAGAACAGAGCTTTGGGGACATTGTGAATTTTAACTGGTTAATCTCAGTGTCAAGACTAAGTTAACTGAAACAATTGGAGGTATGATATGTATGATGAATGAGAAAAGAGACTAAAATGTAGTTGAATAGGTAAGAAGAGAACTAAGAGAAAACAGTCTCAAAAAATTCAAAGAAGGTAAGACTATCCAGGAGGAGAGTGTTCAACAGTGTCAAATACGGAAGAAAGGTCAAGCAGGATGATGATTTGGAAAACAGGTCATTAGATTCCACAATTAGGAGATCATTGTTGACTTTGTAGAGTGGTATCAATTGGAGGAAAAGGCTAGAAACTAGACTGCATAGAGTTAAGAAGAAAATGAGGGAAGGGGAAATGGAAGCACTAGGCATAGACAAATTTTTCAATGAACTTAGCTGAGAAAGAGAAAAGAGATAAAGGACAAAAGCTAGTGAGGATGATGGGATTTAGTGAAAGTTTTAATGCAACACAAATGTATGGGTTAAATTATGGCATAGGCACAGTCTAAATTTTTCTTTTTAAACAAATGCATGTTGCTGCGGTCATGGAAATATATGTTCTGGTAGTCAATGATGATGAAGCTCATCTGAGGTATACTGAAACCCCACATTATCTTACTTGCAGTGACTGAGAGTATTTGAGGTTGTAAGTCATATAGAGATCTGTTTATTGGGAAGAGGAAAGGAAGGTTTGCTTCTTTGTACACTTTCATTCTTATGTCTTTAAAAGAGATTAGAGAAAGTTTCACAGAAGTTTAGAGCTAGAACAGATCTTAGGAAATCTTCCATTTTACAGATAAGGAAAATAAAGCCCAAAGAAGTGAGGTGATTTGCCCGAGGTTACACATTTAGATAGTGACAAAGCCAGAATTAAAAACCAGGTCTCGCACATATACTAAAATTGGAACTAGATGGAGAAGATTAGCATGGCCCCTGCACAAGGATGACACACAAATTAGTGAAGCATTCCATATTTTTATGGAGAACAGAAGAATTCATGACCAAACAGGAGATAGAGGACATTATGAAAAGCAAAATGGATAACTCTGATTACATTAAATTGAAAAGTTTTTGCACAAACAAAGCCAATGCAACCTAGATTAGAAGGAAGGTAGAAAATTGGGAAAGAATTTTTACAACCAATATCTCTGATAAGGGCCTCATTTCTAAAATGTATAGAGAACTAAGTCAAATTTATAAGAATACAAGTCATTCCCCAATTGACAGTCAAAGGATATGAACAGGCAGTTCTCACATGAAGAAATTAAAGTTATCTATAGTCATATAAAAGAATGCTCTAATCACTATTGATTAGAGAAATGCAAATCAAAACAACTCTGAGGTACCACATCACACCTATCAGATTGGCCAACATGACAAAACAGGAAAATAATAAATGTTGGAGATGTGGGAAAATTGGAACATTAATGCATTGTTGGTGGAGTTGTTTTTGGAGAGCAATTAGGAACTATGCCTAAAGGGCTATAAAAATGTGCATACCCTTTGACCCAGCAATAGCACTTCTAGTGCTATATCCCAAAGAGATCATACAAATGGGAAAAGGACCCACATGTACAAAAATATTTATAGCAGCTCTGTCCGTGGTGGCAAAGAATTGGAAATTGAGAGGAGGCCCATGAATTGGGGAATGGCTGAACAAGTTGTGGTATATGAATGTAATGGAATACTATTGTGCTATAAGAAATGATGAACAGGCTGACTTCAGAAAAACCTGTATGGACTGATGCTGAGTGAAATGAGCAGAATCAGGAGAATGTTATACACAGTAACAGCCATGTTGTTCGATGACTAATATTGATAGATTTAACCCTTCTCAGCAATATGAGGATCTAAGACATCTCCAAAGGCCTCATGATGGAAAATGCTATCCACAAAAAAGAAAGAACTATGGAGTTTGAATGCAGATCAAAGCACACTATTTACTATTTTTTTTTCTTCTGTTGTGTTTTGTTTCCTCTTTCTGGTGGTTCCTCCTATTGGTTCTAATTCTTAGCTACAACATCACTAATGTGAAAATATGTTTAATAGAAATATATATGTATAGCTTATATCAGATTGTGCATCGTCTTGGGGAGGAAGGTGAGGAGGGAGGGGGAGATAAATTTAAAACTCAAAAGCTTAAGGAAGTGATTGTTGATAATTCAAAATAAATTAGTTAAGAATTATTAAAAAAAAACAACACAAAAACCAGGTCTCAACTCTCAATCAGAATTCTTTCCACTATAATATAGAATTTTAGTTAAATATTTCCTTTCTCCTCTAGTTAGCATTTTTTAAAGGACTACTCAGAAAAATAATTCCTTTTGTTCAAATCTTTAGAGAAGTTAAATTAAGGGATCTTTATTAGTAAGTGTAGAATTTTGGGGGGAATGTGGAGAGAAAAGAAGGAAATTAGAATTCATGCAGTTTACTTGTTAAAACCTTAGCTATGAAAGGAATTTTTATAGTAGAAAAAGTTCTGTATTTGGAGTCAGAGAAATCAGCTTCAAATTCTGGCTCCGACACTTACTACCTACATAACTTTGGTCAAGTCACCACTCCTTGTTGATCCTTGGTTTCCTCTACTGCAAAGTGAAAGGACTGAACAAGATGACCACTAAGGTCCCTTCTGGCTCTAAAGCTATGATCCTATAGTCCTGGAATATAACTACTTTAATTATGCTTACCTCCCTGAAGAGATGCATAAAAGAGTCTTTCTATGGAAAGAAGAGGCATGGAGAAATGAAATGCAAAGGTTAAGAGACCTTATGGTTCTGATGGTGATGGGATCTGAAAACCTAAAAGGAAAAGGCCATGTCTTTGGGATCTGGGCCCCAAAAAGGAAAAGCCCCTGGACTTTTCCACACAGCTCAGATCACTAGTGCCTCTGCCCAGGGCATCTGGCCCACCCCAGCCCACCTTGATTACTTAATTAGCTTACTTGCCACTCCTTAATTCCATCTAGAACCCTTTCTCTGTTACCTCCAGACCACCCCAGGTTAGTTGCCACTCCTAGATCCCATCCACATCTTCCCACAGTCTTTCTGTATAAAAGTACAAATTTTATCTTCATCAAAAGAGCAGATTCTTAAAATCTGACTCACTTGCATTAGCATCACAAATACTGTAGATTCACTACGAATCTCACCCTCCCAACTCATATTTTAACAAACTCACTACTTGGACTCAAAAAAAGCTTGAGTGGTCAAATTCTTTTCAGGCAGACTACACTCTTTACCCTTGCATTTTAGGGTTCCCAAATTGCAACAGTTCTACCGATTAAGAGACACATCCGTGCTTGTAAGAACCAAAATGAAACAAGACATAAATTTGACCATTGTAGTTATTAAGTAGAGAGAAACTGAATATATTATTATTTCTGGCAATTTTTTTTTTTCAGGAAAAATTTGTAATCTATTAAATAAGCAATTCCTTTTCATTCTACCTTGGCTGCCATGTCATTCAGGCACAAGGATACAATGAAAAAGATTAATCTCACAAGAAGTACTAATTTAACTATGAAGCTCCCAATCCCACAAACAGAAGACAATAAAAAACACAGGCTATAGAAAGGACCCTTCAAAGGCAACTAGAAGGGAAGAATAGGATTAGAGATGGAAGAAGGCACCAGAGCTTATACTTCCTGGTGCCAATGTAAATGGAAGCTCAGTGAGGGTTTCAATTGATCAGTTTTTCATTAAGTACTTTATTTGTCAGGTAGGGGATAGACTATCTCAATCCTCAGCCTGGTGTTCAGCTACTCCTGTGGTTGGGCCAAAGTCCTTAAATTGAGGGGCAGCTAGGTGGCACCAGCCTTGGATTCAGAAGGACCTGAGTTCAAATCCAGCCTCAGACCCATAACACTTACTAATTGTGTGATCCTGGGCAAGTCACTTAACCCCCATTGCCCAACCAAAAAAAAAAAAAAAAAAAAAAAAACCAAAGTCCTTAAATTGTAGATTCTAAGTACTTAAGAGAAGGAAAGGGCAATAATGAAACTCGATAATGAAATGATGTTGGCTATAGGAATTTCCCTTTTCCCCTCACCATACCCAAAGGGAAAAAAAGTTCAGTGAACTTCTCCTGAGGGCAAGAACAACTAGTTCAGCCTACAGAAAGAAGGAACCAAAATAATAATAATAGAATCCAAACACTAGCATCTATTAGATATACAGGGCTAGCTTTACTACATGTCATTTTTCCCTCTTCTTGTCAGAAGAAAAATGACAGAATTAATCAACTGACTACATTAAAGGCATCTAAAGAGAAAATAATAACCACCATGCCTAAGATTCTAAAATAATCCTGCTTTAACATGGCTAATCTTTGTCTATTCCTCCTCCTATCCAAATCATTAATAAAAAAAATTTAAGAAGTGTATCCATGACTCAAAAGAATGCCTCTTACCTTTGCCAAGACTGAAGATAAACGGTTCATTTCTATCATGACTGGAATCAAACTTTTTTCCATTGGACAATTTTCCTTTATAATGGACATAAACTTTGTCTCCAATCATTGGCATTTCCTCATTATTCCCCACTCTTTTGACAATCTAGAAAAGATAGACATCAAGAAATAAGAAGTGTGTTTCTACTTCTGACCATTAAAAAAGGGTCAGAAAGAAAGGTAATCCAGTCCTCTTTTTTTTTAATCCTTTAGGCAAAATTATAGTTAAACAATATTAGAAATGAGTATCTGTCCTATTTTTAACAGCTTTTACCACAACCTTGCTCAGCAATCCTTGCTGTCAAGAAATTCTTCCCTATAGTCATTTTAAATCCCTTACGTTGCAGTTTAAGCTCATTTCAGGTTGTACTGTTTATTTCAAAGAAGAGTCTTTCAAACTCTTCTGGACTCATTTCCTCCTTTCTCAAAATAAAAACTCCCTGACCCCAAATCAAAAGACCAGGGAGTTAGTTCCTATACAATTTGAGCCACGAAGCAAAACATTCAAGGACATCCAAGAAACACCTAAAACAAAGCCTCACTGCATACTTCTCTTTACATTGTCCATCAACCCAAACACAGCAGCATTTGATTGCAGATTCTCCCACTAGGTTTAAGATTTCAGAAAGTCCTACTTCCTGGTATGACTAGTTATAGTTCACATTATTTGAATAATACACACAATGTATAGAAAAGACTAACAAAACTACAGTATGATACTGATCAATTCGTTTTCTAGTAAAGGAAATGCCAAAAGGACTTTATGAAAAAAAAATTAGTAATCATAAAATTCATAATATTTATTTGTTTTGTATTTGGCAGAGGAGGCTGCTAATGTGTTGGGTCAGTTCTGGGAAAACAAAATTGATTCCAGCTGTGTTGGTGGTGTAGTTTCTTCTGTCAATCATGTATGTAAAATTATTCTGCAGTAGATAACACTTTATGGGACAGCTTAGGTGGTGGCAAGGTGGATATAGCCTGAAGTCAGGAAGATATTTCCTAGCTGGGTGACCTTGGACAAGTCACATGACCTTGTTTGCCTCAGTTTCCTCATCTGTAAAATGAGCCAGATAAAGGAAATGGCAAACTACTCCAGTATCTTTGCCAAGAAAACCCCAAATGGGGTCAAAATCAGACACGACTGAACAACAACTAAACAAAAACAAAGTAACACTTTGGCTTACATCTTTTCTAAGGAGTAGAATTGTCTGTAAATATTAGTGATTTATCTTAAATTATTTTTTTCTGAAACATAAAGAGAAGATTCTGATATGTAATTTTCCCAGTTCAAGATCTTTGATATTCTGGAAGGCGAGAATCTCTACAGTCACTTCAGAGCTTTTAGGGAAAAAAAAGTTTCACTATATTAACCTGTCCAATCCAGATATTCTACTCATCATGTTCCCAGATTTACAATTCAGATGGAAAAGTCTGATCTAGTCTTAGATACTGAATGCCAATTAAGTGTTATGCTAGAAATATCTGAACCTCTAAGTTCATGGCCATATGATCTCACGCCTAGTTATCAACAGCAGACATGTCACAGCAGAGGTGCGTCAAACACTTCCAAGTGGAGGCCAAACCAGATAGTGGAATGGAGAAATATTTAGCAAAATAAATAAAAAAATATAATAGATCATAGACAATGTTAATATGTGATTTTTAAGTCAATATGCAAAAAGTAGGGATCCTTATGTACAGTTTAGTGGCCCTGTTCCTATTCGAATTTGAAACCTCTACAGAATGACTGATTATGAAGCATTAAGGCAAGTAAGAATTCTTAGGCTGAAACTTCAAACCTTGAGAAAGCTTTAGGGGCCTACAGCATCATTTCATTAGTTTTGTTTCAGGAAGATAATATCACAACAAAAATCTAAGGCATTCAGCATTTGCCTCCACATACAGCTCTAATCAATCTCCAAAATTTGTTTTTGCACAAGTTAATAGCAATACCTATAAATATGGGAAGTGAGTTATGAAATTAATAAAACTGGACAAAACCTGTTCAGAAAGATCTCCATTTGCTATGGATGAAGATAAGAAAATAACCAAATTGATTAACCAAGTGGCCCAAATAATTCTCTATCAGCAAAATAGATAAGAAAATTAATTCGATTATGCAAAATGATTGTACACAACAGTGGGTTACTGGGCAAAGCATCAACTAGGTAAAAGATTGTGTTCTAGATGCAGTTTCAACGCTACTAGAAGATTTTAGCCATGAAACCTTAAAAAGTCTCTTATACCCACTCAGTTTCCTTATCTATAAAATTAACATAATGCCTACAACAAAAGGTTATTGTGAGCTTCAAATGGGATGATGTACAAGCATTTTTAAATTATAAAGCACTGTAAAATATCAGAAAATATTAAATATAGGGTAGAATAGAAGAGTAAGTTTAAAGGCAAGTTGATTATTTGATTGAATATCAAGAACTCGCTCTATACAGGAACACTATATGTATTAATATTGAAGTTCACTGATTTTGAACTTTGCTAAATTTCTTTTCCTTTTTTAAAATAAATTTTGCCTGAAACTTTCATTTTTTTATAATTTTAGTACACTTCTATAATTCTCAAAGGGGGAATGGCTCTTGCTTACCAAGAAAAACCTTTTTATTTTGGGGGTAGACAAAAAATATGAAATGTGATTAGGTAATTTAATAAAATTCACTGATGCTTTCTTATTTTAAAAACACTATAGACATTTCCTTATGTCTCTCTTGTCCCCATGGATACTCTGTTCTCACAAACAAAAATGGTATACAAAAAATGGTAAACAAAAATACATTCAGATCCTGCATATAGCATATCTGCCCAGCATTCTTCACTAGTGACTTACCTTTAGGACACCTCGGTCCTTCTTGGGAGTAATGTCCTCCCCTTGTTCAGCAAGAGCAACTGCTGGATTCTCTCCATCGTTCTTGGTGGCCTCATCGGTAGTCATTGTCTTTCATAAGAAGAATCCCTGCTAAGAAGAAACAAATGTTATTCGAGCTAGGAAAAAAAAATTACTTCATCGTTCAGCTCGGAAGCAATTCTGATGTATGAACCCATTTCATCTCTGTTCCTAGCTAATATCTGACTCTTCTTCACTGGGACCAACATGCTAGCCTTTACTCACATAATCAAAACATAATCTAGGTCATCCAGTCCAAACTGTCCTTAACTAAAAATCTCTTCTACAATATCCAACAAGCATAAGGTTAGGGACATATCTAAGGTACACATAATAGAATTCAACAAATACTTAAATGCTTGCCTATATGCAAGGCTTTCCACTAAAGATTTTCCTCCAAGTTAACATCCAAAAGACATTATTTGTTATTCTTTGGGACGGATCATCCAAACAGATCTGAGCTGACTTATATGAGCTATTGTCTAGAGTTTATCACTCTATCTTACCCACAAGGACAGCATGACAGGTTTTATCAAATGTTCAACTGAGTTTTAGGTAAACTGTATCTATAACACTGCCTACATCTAAATCTAGTAACCATGTCAAAACATAAAATGAGATTAGTTTGGCATAACTTGTTCTTGATAAAATCATGCTAATTGGCACGTGGGTTATTACCACACATTTTTCTGGATAGTTACACACCATCTGTTAAATAACAAGTTCCAGAATTTTGCCAGGAAGGACTTCTAGAAAGACGGCTGTATGAAAGGTAGTATTTAAGGCCAGCACCTCTCAATCATCTCAAAATAGAAAGAAATACATTTTTTAAAAAGCAAAGAGCAGATACCGCCAGATGCTAGTGATGCTGGAAAGAATTTATCAAAGGAAAAACCTCCTAGAACAATGAGTAGAAAGTTGATTTATTTAAAAAATTTAGAGACATAAGTAAACAACTAATAAAAAGGTCCAAACACAAATAATAAATGCTATAGTTAAAGAAAACTGATTTGAACATCTCTAATGAAAAGTACTATAATAACTCTTGGTAGGACCCCAGAAACTTAAATGGAATAAACCCAAGAACCTAGAATAGTTCTAAAGTACACTAAGGGAATCAAATGAAAACAATACTGATGGAAATTAGGTTAAAAAAAAAAATTAGAGCTCTCCATGAAGAAACAAAAAAAGCAAAGAGTACAGAATTTAGAAGAAAAGACAGATCATTTCTTTAAGACAGTAGATCTTCTGGAAAAAGATGAGATTTAGAATTGTAAAGCATAGAAATAGAGGAGAAATTGAGAGAATAAGATCAAAAGATGAACAAGATTGGAAGAACACATAAAATTGTATAAGTCAAGACAACTGTGACAAAAACTGCCAGGAAAACTGGAAAAGAGTATGGCAGAAAACTAGGTATAGACCAAAATCTTATACCATATACCAAAATAAAGTCAAAATGGATTCATGATTTAGATATAAAGGCTGATACTATAAGCAACCTGAGAGAACAAGGAATAGTTCACCTGTCAGATTTATGGAGAACAGAAGAATTCATGACCAAACAGGAGATAGAGAACATTATGAAATGCAAAATGCATAATTTTCATTATATCAAATTGAAAAGTTTTTGCACAAAGCCAATGCAACCAAAATTAGGAGGGAAGCAGAAAACTGGGAAAGAATTTTTACAACCAATATCTCTGATAAGGGCCTCATTTCTAAAATGTATAGAGAACTAAGTCAAATTTATAAGAATACAAGTCATTCCCCAATTGATAAATGGTCAAAGGATATGAACAGGCAGTTTTCAGATGAAGAAATTAAAGCCATCTACAGTCATGTGAAAAAATGCCCTAATCACTACTGATTAGAGAAATGCAAATCAAAACAACTCTGAGGTACCACATCACACCTATCATGTTGGCCAACATGACAAAACAGGAAAATGATAAACACTGAAGAAGATGTGGGAAAATTGGAACATTAATGCATTGCTGGTAGAGTTGTGAAATGATCCAACCATTCTGGAGAGCAATTTGGAACTATACTCAAAGGGCTATAAAAATGTGCATACCCTTTGATCTAGCAATAGCACTTCTAGGGGTATATCCCAAAGAGATCATACAAATGGAAAAAGGACCTACATGTATACAAAAATATTTATAGCAGCTCTGTCTGTGGTGGCAAAGAATTGGAAATTGAGGGGATGCCCACCAACTGGGGAACGGCTGAACAAGTTGTGGTATATGAATATAATGGAATACTCTTGTTCTATAAGAAATGATGAGCGGGGCAGCTAGGTAATGCAGTGGATAGAGCCAGACCTGGAGTCAAGAGGATCTGGCCTCAGACACTTGACACTTATTAGCTGTGTGACCCTGAGCAAGTCACTTAACCCCAACTGCCTCACCAAAAAGAAAAAAAAAAAGAAAAAAAGAAATGATGAACAGGTAGACTTCAGAAAAACCTGGAAAGACTTGTATGGACTGATGCTGAGTGAACTGAGCAGAACCAAGATAACATTGTACACAGTAACAGCCACGTTGTACAATGACTAACTTTGATAGACTTAGCCCTTCTCAGCAATGCAAGGATCTAAGACATCTCCAAAAGTCTCATGATGGAAAATGCTATCCACATCCAAAGAAAGAACTATGGAGTTTGAATGCTGATTGAAGCATACTATTTGCTATTTTTTTCGTCTGTTGTGTTTTGTTTCCTCTTTCTTGTGGTTCCTCCTATTGGTTCTAATTCTTCCTTACAACATGACTAATGTGCAAATAGGTTTAATAGGAATGTATATGTAGAGCCTATATCAGACTGTATACTATCTTGGGGAAGGAGGAGGGGAAGGAGGAGGAGAAAAATGTTAAACTCAAAAGCGTATGGAAGTGATTGTTGAAAACTAAAAATAGATAAAAAAAAAAAGACAACTGACCCTAAAGAATATGAAGATATGAATTCACTGGTTTTTTTTTTTAGTAAAGTAAAATTTCTAGAAAATCATATTGCAGGAAATTCCTTGGAAGTATTTGAAACAGAGAGCAAAATATAGATTAATGGAATTTACAGAAGGCTAATAAAGAAATCCCACATTTATCAAGAAATATCACAATCAAGTTTCAGAATTTCAACATTAAACAACAAATATTACAGGTAATCACATTAATCATATTGGACAATTTGGACTTTTTTTCTTCTTATATAAAGGATTTATACAAAAGGAAATGAGACAATTTGCATCTCCAAATAAAATATCCTCTTAAAATTGAACTTAATAATCAATGAAAGATGTACTTTTAGCAAAAGCAAGTAATTTGAGTTGTTCTTTCAGAAGAAACCAAAGAGAACAGGACCTCTGACCAGCAAACTCAAACAAAAGAAACATAAGAGAAATAAATGAATACACACTGTCAAGAAAAGATCGAAAACAAAAATCAATGTTTTTCTTAGACTAGAAAAATCTACTACTTTTTAAAACTCTCATCTTGTTTGCAATTCATTAAACGAAGATAAAATATCTTGGCAACATTAAAGGAGTGAAGAATTCAAAGAAACAAAGGTAAGGAAAAGTATTAAGAAATTTTTGAACTACAACATTTACTCTAGCCTTCGTAAATTAACATTTCACGGGAGAAGAATGTACAGGTATCTTTTAGAACAAGATATGGGGAGGATAGGGACCAGGGAAAATCCAGAAATGCACTGCTATATATCCAAGACAGGAAAGGAGAAGAGGAGTGTGGTATTTTCAGTCTCAATTTTAACACAAAGATAAATAAGAAATTATAGACTTCTTCATAATAGCTTACTACAGATAAAAGGTTTTTTTTAAAGGGCAAGCAAAATCAAAAAATCATTACCTTAATATTACAAACTAAGAAGAATATAAAATTACACCAAAATGGGAAAAAAATTCACAAATGGAAGGAATGAAAAAACAATTATCAGTAACCTTAATTTTATGTCAACAAAATCAAAAAGTTAAATGAAAAGGGTGAAGAGCTATAGACAAATGATATTCAAATTTTACAAAAAAAAAACCACAAACTAAAGTTGAGAATATAAATACTTCAGCTTCTGAAGGAGAAAATGATGAAGTCATAAATGAGCTCTCAAAGGAAAAAAATTCCTTGTCCAAATGGCTTTGTAAGTGAATTTTATCAAACATTTAAATGATAAATAATCCCTATGTTATTTATTCATAAGGGAACAGGGACTAGGACTACCTCTAAAAAGAATTCCCAGATGATAAAATTCCCTCTACCAGTGAAGGCTGAAACGTTCTTGACAAATTAAACTTTGAGAGTTGTCTAGAGAACTTGGAATGTAAACGATTTGTCCAGGGTTGTACAGCCAGTATTCATCAGAGGCAGAACATGAACCTAGGTCTTCCTACCTCCAAGACTGGCTCCTCTATCCACTGAACCATGCTGCCTTTTATGCAGAAATGTTAAAAACACTCTTTATAAATCATAAGGAAATAAAAGTATAATCAATAGGAAAAAATGTGAATTAATGATTCTAATCTAAACAGACTAAATAATCAAAAATGGAGAATGAATCTTCCAAAAACACCTTCTGTAACATAAATATGGTCCTGACATCCAGACCAGGAAGAGATAATGGAGAAAATGATAACAAAACAAAATTAATAGACACTGGTGAGAAAATGTTAAATGAAATGCTAGGCAAAGAGATCATAGCAAAATATCCAAAAGTATACTCATCATAACCTCACTGGATTTATTATAGGGACGCAAGAATGCAACAGCAAGAAACAATGAACATAATCACATTAATAACAGAAATAAAAATCATATTATGTAAAAAAGTATTTGACAAAGCTCAGCACTTGTGTAATTTATAAATGCTAAAATGCATGGAAATAGCAGACTCTTTTCTTAGTGTTATCAAAAGGATTTGCCTAAAAACCCTAAATTAACTTTTTTAATGTAGAAAAAAATACTAGAAATATCCCCAAGGAGACTGAGGGTAAAGGAAGTTTGTGAATATCATCATCCTCATTTGACATGTCAGAAATGCAAACTACCACGATAAGTAAT